CTGAGTCTGCAGGACTGCCCTGGGGCCACACAGGTCACACAGAGCTGCTGCAAGGCCATTCAGGTCACACAGTTAGACCTCATCTACAAATACATAAACAGAACCAAAAAGCAGAGGGAGCTGAAGGAGACAGGAAACCCAATGCAATGCCCAAACGAGCAGATGATGCAACCGCCACTAACCAAACATGCATCTAGCGAGGGCATTTGAGAAGGACAGGGGAGATTACACAGAGTCAGTGCTCCAGGTGACTGGGATGTGCCAAGGTTAAACTCCCACATGCTGCGAAGCGCCCCATCCCCCATAGGCTCCTGAGTTTGAACGCTTGGCTCCCATTTGGTGGCTGTCTTTGGGAAAGTGGTGGGACCTTTAGGGGGACTTCCCTGGAAGAAGTGGGTCACTCGAGGTGGGCCATTTGAGTTTACGGCCAGGCCCCACTGCCTACTCTTTCTCTGCTTCCTGACAGTAGAGTGACCAGCTGGCCTCTCTTTCGTGCATACCTTCCCCCCACCACGATGGGATGTGGCTCTTGGAACTGTGAGACAGAATAAACCCTTCATTCCTTAAACTGCTGCTTGTCAGGTATTTTGTTATAGCAACAAAAGAAAAGCAGCTAACGCAGAGGAGTAACCATGCTGTGATCACACAGGGAGAATATCTCCATCGCTTCCTCTCTTACCCACGCTATTGGCTGTGAGTTGTTTTATTTTGAGATTTTGAAATGTTAACTCTCAAACTTAGTCGTTCACCAAACATTTAGAAAGTGCCTACTAAATGCCTGGCACTCAAGTTTTTAAAACTCATTGTGCTGAAACACACTTAGAACTATATAGGAACAGTCTTATTGTTCCTGTAGCCTTCTCACCCATACTCTGCTGATGTTAACAACGTACATATCCCTAACATAATACCACCAAGGAAAAATGGCTCCAAACTAGGGGTTTACTCAGTCTATAAACTGAAGACATGGCCACTCCATGGGGTGGTTAAGGGGGAGATTCTTATTGTGGATATAAGAGAGAGAACAGACAGAGGAATCTGGAGGCGTCCAGAGCAGAGCAGAGAGAGAGAGAGAGAGAGAGAGAGAGAGAGAGAGAGAGAGAGAGAGAGAGAGAGAGAGAGAGAAGTAGACTGGGCGTGGCCAGTAGACTGGGTGTGGCCAGGCTATCTGTAAGACAGGGTTGACTAGCATGGGATAGAGAACAGAGAAAGCATGGTGCGAGAAGCAGGACCAGAACACAGAGAAAACATAGCAAGAATAGCTGGGTTATAAGGAGAATGAGCAGCTGGAGGGAGGGGAGCCTGTGAGTGGATGGAGTTTAGGGTAGGGGAGGAGGTGGGAAGGACTAGGATGCTAGCAGGGACCTTGAAATGTGTAACAGGTACTTGTGCTACCGATGGAACCTGGAGGCCAGCGTGGGCTTTGAGAGGTAGCCCTTTGTACCTTCTGCCAGAGGGGAGAGAAATGACTCCTTTTGGTAGATGGGAACCAGTTTCACAAATTCCTGAGGAATGATGGGTTTTAATCTAAATACCAGAAATCCTCCTATAGTCCAGGTTGAGCTCACTGGGCTGCCTTTTGGAGTTTGGGGAATTGGAGTTTCATCTGGACCCACCACACAGGTCTCATGGGTCCTCATCCTAAAGTCCTCTTACTGTTTCCAGATCCACCCTAGGATCCTAGACTGCATTTAGCTCTCATGTCACCTGTATCTTCTCTGTTTTGTGACTTCTCAGGGTTTCCTTGTCCTTCATGACTGTGAGGAGCTCTGGCCAGTTGTTTTTATAGCATGCCCTAGTCAAGGCTAGTCTGAAATTTCCTCATGACTAGACAGAGGTTACACATTTTGGGTAGGAACATCCAGAAGGGACCAGCCCTTCTCCACGCATCCAGATCGTGGGATGACTGTGCATCTTTAGCGGTCTCTCTTCACTGGAGACTTGATTGGATAGAGTGACCATGGAAACACAGCCGCCCATGACTAAGACGGTGTTTCCAGAGAGGTTTGACTGAAGCGGGAAGATCTACCCAGGGTGGTTGGCACCACTGATTGGGGTCTGGACTGAATAACTAGGAGAAAATAAGTTGAGCACAAGCAATCTTTATCTCTCCCTAACTGCATGTGGTGTGACTGACTTCTTGGTTGTGATGGACTGTGCCCTCAGGCTCCTTTCCTTCCTTAGGAGGCTTTTCCCAAGCATTTTGTCACAGTAAGGAGAAGAATACAAGTAGCTCTCAGACTTGTGGCTGAAGCACCCGGAGGTTTGTGACAGTACAGACCCTCTGCCTGGGGCGGGTGGTGGCATCAGAGGAGACTGTGGGGATTATGAAGCTGGAAGGACTTTCTGAAGTCTTTGTTTTTCCTCTTGGCAAATGAGTAGCGCACAGGACAAAGACCCCAATGTGTGACCAAAGGCAGGAGGGAGAAGCATCCCATTCGGTGTCGATTTTTTTAGAATTCAAAACATTCCTAACTTTATTGAGCTCCTTGCCAAGTCCCCTATGAAGCTCTGTTATGAATGGCGGGTTGGGCTCCTGCTCATCTCACAAAGCCTTTAACTCAGCATGAATAGCTTCTAAGTAGTTAAGCACTTCTCGGTTATGTAAAGCTCATGGATCGGGGCGGGGTTCAGAAACTGAATCATCATTTACAGTAGTGCTTTTATTCCCCCCACATGGGGAAAAATGACTTCCTGGGAACACTGAGAAGGGAGCAGGGTACTGAGCAACGAACAGATCTGGAACCAGACTGGAAGAGCATTGCTCTTGCTTTAAATGCCGAATTCCTCTCGAGTTCCGTGTGAAGGCAGTAAGGCAGCGTGGGGATCCAGCAAGTCACAAGCAAAGAATGCGTGTGGATCACTGCTCTTGGGTTGCTTGGGTCTGAGGGCTGCAGACACTGGGGAGGGCAGTGACCTACCCAAGGAACTCCTCTGCAGAAGGATGACAGCTGGAGCACATCAAGGGACAGCCATGCCTGACTTTGGGGTCCTTCAAGTGCTCCAAAAGGAAGATGACCGAACAAGGAACAAAATTCAAACAGAGAAAGAGGATGATGTGTGCTGAGTCTATTGGCAGGAAGCAGCCTATGGCTAGAGACCTAGGTGAGTGGGGAGGTGCTGGAACAAGGTGAGTTGAAGGACAGATCACAGGGCCTGTGTGTGTGTGTGTGTGTGTGTGGTATAATTCTTATAACATGAAATTTACCATTGGAACCATTTATCACCTTTTTAAAAATTTATTTATTACGAATACAACACCCTGCCTCCATGTACACATCAGAAGAGGGCACCAGATCTCATTACAGATGGTTGTGAGCCACCATGTGGTTGCTAGGAATTGAACTCATGACCTCTAGAAGAGCAGTCAGTGCTCTTAACCTCTGAGCCATCTCTCCAGCCCCCTTTTATCACTTCTGTGTGTATTATGTGTATGTTTATATGTATTCAGCTATGTGTGTGCCCATGTGCATGGGCGTAGAGGCTAGAGATCGATGTTGAGTGTCCTCTTCTACTCCTTCCCAGCTTCTGTTTTGAGACGCTCACTGATTGGCTAGACTGGTGAGTTGGTGAGTGTTAGGTCCCAATCCTCACCCCCACCCCCCACCCCCCACCTCCAAAAGACACTGAGCATTCTCAGGAGCCCGTGGAACAGGTCTCTGCCTGCTGGAAGAGTCACTTCCCGTGTGTATTTCCCCTTATTTCTGGCAAATGGGACCCCTGGTTCTCCATTAGCACACACACCTGTAATACACCTGTATATGGAAGCTCCACCCTATCCTCCAGACTCCCCAGTCCCTACTAACACCTGTAATGCATATCAGAACCGCTGGCCTCACCTGCTCCTAAGCTTCCAGACTGTTGCAGTGTACAGGTTTCCCTCCAGCCCTGGCCCATGTCTTTGATAACTGGCAAGGCTTTCCCACCTTCTTGCTGTTTCCAGATACAGGGAATCTTCATTCTGCGAGAACCTGTTGCCTAGTGTTTAAATGGGCTTTGTTTTTTTATAAAAGTATATAGAGGGGATCACACAAAGATCTTGAACTGAAAATGTGCCATGTGGTCAAGCACCTACAGCTTCTGAAGGGGGCTTGGCATCCTAAGGAACATTCTTGACTGCACTCCACAGTCTAATTTGCCTCGCACAGTTATTGACAAAAAGACTTTGGGTGATGCCCCCACCCCCACATAGTCTCAACAGATCCCACTTAATGGGAGTGGAGATGGGCATGCTCGCCCCCAGGGAAGCGAGAAGAAACATGGCCGAGGCTACGATTTGATCTGGGCTTGCTGCTCCAATTCCTTGTTGACAGGATCAAGGGCAGAATAGGGTCTGTGGCTGGTTCCACCCAGCACTTGTCCTCCAAAGGAGCTTATACTGAGAAGCAAAGGGTTGAGCTAGGCAACTAAGTGTAGTTGCAGGCCAGATGTGTTCTCCCGATGGTGATCGGGTCCCCCAAAGGACCACCTGGCATCCCTAAGCGGCCTTTCACCTGCATTTTTCTAGAGAGGCCTGGCCTGGGACTCCTCTTGGGTAACTTCTTGTTCCCGACCCACCCTTTTCAATCCCAGCCACCTGCCTCCTGCAGGCGGAGAGCCTCTTCAGTCCCCAAGTCTAGCTTTCTAAGCATGAAGCTTGTTTCTGAGGGCAAACAAGCACCACGAGTCACTGGACAGGTTTCCTGTTCTCAGGTGGGTCCCCAAAGAGCCACAAGACTACTTCTGTAAGCCTGCTAACAGCTTGCCATGATCTATGCGCTGTCTCTAAAAGGAGGTTAGCTCATGAGGCAGAGCCAGGTTCTTGAACCCCATCCTGGTCCAGCAAGCATCTGACTGCTATGCCTGAGGTCAGCAGGATGTCTGGTGGTACCATGGAGGCGTCAGAGGCATGGTACTCAGCTCATGGCCCATAGGCATTGCCCAGTGGGGCAGGCAGACACTTTATGAGCTAACCAACACATCATAAAAGTGAGCAGCAAATTCTAATGGGCCAACAAGCCAGGGCAGAAGACTTTTGTCTTCAACCACAAAGCCAATGTCCCAAGGGCAAGAAAGCCTGCCCAGCCAATACTGAAATTGATCTGGGATAACGCTGGACTCCAGAAAGCCACTGTCAACAATGGAAGAATTTCTAGAAACTTCCTAGGTAAAGAAACTTTGTACCCTAACTCTTTACCTAATCAAAAGGGCCAGCTAGGAAGATGTTTTGTTTTGTCTTTGCTTTTTATCACAGGTACCTCTGTACGTGTGACTTGGGTGAGTCTCCCTCTAGTTCCAGGTGACAGATGTGGCCCTTGACTGGAGTTCTTCTGCAGTGCTGACAGGAGGCAGCTCTGCTGTCATCAGAAGGTTTGGATAGTAAGGGCCAGCTTCCTCAGGCAGGCAGGAGAGAAAGCATCTTGCTTCTGCAGATTGTGGGTGCTCGAACTAGGTCCCCAGTGACATGACTTTGTGTCTAGGCAGATGTGCTTGTCTCCAGGGTTCTAAGGATACAGAGCCCACGCATGGACCATGTGGCTTGTTAGTTGCCTGTAGTCCCATCTAAGCCAGTTCAGGATGGGCCTATGGGATGCAACGGATGCTGAGAAGACTGGTCCTCCCATTTAGTCTTTGAAAATTATCTAGTGTTTCCCATGTTCTATGAGCCAAGCTGGCTGCAAGCAACACGGGAGTGGATTAAATACGGGAGCCAGGTTCTCACGGTGTTGGGACCAGACAGATGGCATGAAAGTAAAAACGCTGAATGGCATTCATCTCCACACGCTGAGCCATAGCCAGATGAACTGACCAGTATGGTGTTAAGTGGGGTTTATCAAATTCAAGTAAGTATCTAGAGGGAGAAGGGCGACTTTTGAAGAGGTGACATGAAACCCAAGATCTAAAGAATTAAAGGGGTTGAGGTGGTCTAGAGTGAGCATTAGGGAAAAATAACTTTCCATGCAGAGAGGCAAACAGCAGAGCCTGACACATGGGGAAGGCTGGGCTCTTGTGATGGGGGAGATGATGTACAACTTCATTCCGAGGGTCCTGAGTCCTGACAGGGTGAATCTTAGGAACAGGCAAAGGTCAGTTTTCATCCCGGGCCAGCACCACATTCCCCCAAACGTTTTACTCAGCTTCCCATGCGACGCACTCCTGGATGGGAAGTGGCAGGCTAGCATTTGAGGGTGATTTCAGATACTCTGCAATATCTCAGATGAATTCAGGATGACTGCCTGATTTTGAAGCAGCAGGTTTGGATGTAACCCCCACTTCCGGTTAGACCTTCTGCCCTCTATCTGCAGGCTCAGCATGGACGTAGAAAGTATCTCGACTTTAGATACAACCATGTTTTAATTTCTGCCCATTTACCAAGATTCCACAGCCCTTTTCTCTTTTGCAGACTGTGTAACTGTTTTTCTCCTAAACATGACTGGGTCTCTGCCCCTGACATAGGCCTTTCTATGACTGAAGTCTTGTCTTGCTGACTTCTTATTTCCTGTCCCTACTCCTGAGTCACAGGCAATTATGCAGAGTCCCATTAAGTGGTGACAGATTTGAAAGTTGACTGTGGTCTGTCCCCCAAACCCCACTTACTCCTAGGAGATTGCCTAGATGGTAAGTGCAACTACATTACCCCTGCCTAGTCCCTGCTCCCCCAGGTCCAGGTGAGTTCAAGTCTATAAGGAATGTTTGAAAAGAGACTGATGGCAGTCAGACAGAAATCAGGGTGTGCATTCAAGTTCAGTCCAGAGCCCAAAAGCCAAGCAGATTCCTCTAGCAAGTGGGGCAAACTTGCAGCAACAAGTGAGAGCATCCTTGAATCAAGAACACACTAAGGCTGGGCAGTGGTGGTGCATGCCTTTAATCCCAGCCCTCAGAAGGCAGGGGCAGGTGGATCTCTGAGTTCAAGGCCAGCCTGGTCTACAGAGTGAACTCCAAGATAGCCAGGTCTACACAGAGAAACCCTGCCTTGGAAAACCAGGACAAAAAAAAGCACATTGAGATCCACAGATTACTTGATTCACCTGCCACTAGCCATTAGAAGAAAAGTATGGTTGTTTTCTTGGCCAAGGATTCATCCCATTGCTGCTAGTCAGACTACCAAGCCTCATCCAAAGCTGGAACAGACTCTCTGGAGGCTTCTAGAATGGCTACTGGCTAAATGAATGAGGTATGGAAATCCTTTACTTCAGTCGGTGACTTGGAGAAAATTATGAGAGTGAAACTTGGGTGCCCCCCCCCACGGAGAGCCCTGAAGGTGATACTCTGCAAAGCATTGCTGCAAATCCAGAGATCCCGAGCCTGGGGACCAACAGTGCCATGAGAATGAGGGTTGGAATGGGAGGCGCACAACGCTAATGATGATGAAGCTAATAAAACAGAGGCAGTTGACTCTCAAGTGCATGCCAAGCCTGAGCTGCACACCCTGTGGTACCTGGAGCATCTCTGCCAAGTGAATGTAATTACTTCCACTTTATGCCAGCAGAGATGGAAGCTCTGGGATGCTAAGAAATGCTTCCAAGATCACCCCTGACCCCCGGAGAGCCAGGACTTAAACCCTGGTGTGCCCAGCTTCCCACGAACGGCATCCATTAGCCGTCCCCTCTCCATGCAAGGATGGCCTGACTCTCGTGGAATGGTCCAAGTGAGTATAAAGGAGAAAGAAGCCATTAGCTGTGGAGGCCACTTGAGGTGATTGTCAAGTGTCTGGGTTGATTAACTGTGAACTTGAAGGAAGACAGGTGTGCTTTTATGCCATAGATCTGCCCTGGGCCTGCTTGGGCCTGTTTCCACCCTCTGAATGAGGAAGTTGTGCCTGGCAGAATGAGAAGAGGCCACGAGAGGCTGAATGAAGGGCTCAGGAAAGTACAAAGAATTGTTGGAGACAGGAGTGGATGCCAGGTGGAGAGGGCCTCTTGCAGGCATGACTGCACAAGAGGGAAGTACTAATCCTTGCTAGGCACACAGTAGGGCTGCTCCACTGGACGGCCTTGACCACACTGGACAAACCCTGGGCCCAGCTCAGTAGTAAGTGAATAACATGCTTAAAGCCTTCAGTTCTATCCCAAACACCAAACACACAAGGACACACACAGGGACGGACACACACACACAGGGACACACACATACAAGGACACATACACAAGGATACTACACACATAGGGCCACACACAGAAGCACACAGGGACACACACAGGGATACATACATACAAAGGGATATACACCACATATAGGGACACATACATGTTCACACACACATACACACACATATTTATCTAGCCAGGACAATAACAAAGGCAGGTCAACTGTGTTAAACAGAAGGTGTGAGTCCCATCCTTCAGGACTCAGGAAGAAGGAACCAGCCACTTCTGATGAGCCTAGGGGCCCAAACCCAACTAGGCTACTATATTCCAGCCCTTGAACACCCCAACATCTGCCTGCGAGGGCTTATAAGTGAATTCTTATTACTCTGCTCAACCCTACAGTGAATTGATGGGGTGGGGTGAGAGCAGAGGGAAAAAAGCAAAGATTGACTCATGTTTACTACCACGCCCATGAGATCCTTGTCCACACAGACTGGCTGGTGGCTGGAAGAGAAGGAGGAGCGGAACAAGCCATCTCAGGCCAAGCAGGCAACATCACTCAGCAGCTTGCTCACAAACTCACCAGCACCTGACCCTGACAAGACCCGTGTGTTAAAAAGTGCTACTATCAGTGGTGGTTCTGTGGGTTGTGTGGCATGCCAGATATCTTTGTCAGAAACCAAGTCTCTGGATAAATTGACATCGTCAATCTCAAGATGAAATGGAAGTTTGGAGGGGGGATACCAATTGCTGTGGGTCCTCCATGTATGAACCTGATGCTGGTTTCCTGAACTCTTAGCACCTGTGGCCATCTGCTGGAGACCTGCACAAAATTTGGACCCCCTGCAGATATACGGTACTTAATGGTTGCTGGGGGGGGCAGTGGTGGGACTCAGCAGGTCCTGCTCCTCCATTGCATAGATGCATATTTGCAGAAGGAACATTCCTGCAGTGGTGTGATTTGCCTGTGCTCCGCCGAGTAATCACAACTAAGTCCATTAGTTTACCATGCCCAACTGGATGTTCGTCTCCCCAGGAAAAGTTTGCACAACACCAACAGTGGACTGAGAGTCACTCTCTCCTGTGAATTGAGAGACTGAGCCTCTATCTAGGAATGCACTTAGGCTACCCTCACTCATACATCCCATTCTCCCATTGTCCTTCCCCCACCCCCGGGAGGTGGGTAAGTACTTTGATTCCACATAAATTCCACCTGGGCTCCACTGTGCTGAGGCTTCGGAGGCCATTGACCTGCCAGCCAGCTCGATGCCTGGAAAACTCTTGTTTCTAATCAAAGTAGATTTGCTAAAGCTCGCAGGGCCGCCTGTTCTTTACCCGGACAGATGCCATGATACCAGCTGGGACTCAGTCTGGAGAGAGCCTCATTGTTAAATATTTTCCTTAAAAATGAGATCAGTCAGCCACCCCTTCCTTGGGTGGTCCCAGAATGGCAAGAATCTTGCTTCTCGGTGGTGCGGCAAATATGGTATTGTCTTGGGAGAGCTGCCCTTGGCCTCAGAGTGCTGTGGGCATCGGGAAGCAATGTAAAAGGAAAAGCCACCAGAATTTTCTTCCACAGGCAGCTGCCACAGGAATTCTCCACACTGCTCTGCTCAAGAACAATCCACAGCTCCATACTGACTACAGAAGCAACGGGCGAACGGGCGAACTGGCCTCTTTCATAAAGGACATTTTATTGAAGCTCAACCACACCTACCCATTTCTGTATTATTTATGGCTCCTGCTGGGCTACCAAGGGAGAGCTGAGTAACTGCCACCAAGATTGGCTGACTGTCAAAGCCTGTACGATTGGTTATGCTCTAAGAGTGTGCTTATGCTCTGCTGGGAGGTTGGATTGCATGTGTATGTGTGTGGGGTGTGTGTGTGTGTGTGTGTGTGTGTGTGTGTGTGTGTGTGTGTGTGTGTGCGTAGGGGCCATAGGACAACCTTGGATGCCATTCTTTAGGCACCATCTATCTTTTTGACACAGGGTCTTTTCTGGCTTGGAGCTCACCACATAGGCTAGGCTGGTGACCAGGAAGGCCCCATGGTCTGCTTGTCTACCTGTTTCCTCCTCATGACTAGAACTGGGATGCAAGAGCATGCTACCATAGCTCCTAAACAAACAAACAAACAAACAAACACACTTAGGTTCTGGAGTTCAAACTCAGGTCTTCGTGCTTGTGAGACAAGCATTTAACCTACTGACGACCCATCTCCTCAGCTGCTCTGGTTCCTACAGAGGAGGACGGTGTGTGTACTGGCCACTTTTCCCTCGCTGTGATAAAACACCATGACCAAGGTAACGTCTAGGTTTGGGGTTATGGTTCCAGAGAAAGAAGAGCTCATCATGGAGGCATGCAGTGGTAGTCATGGCAGCAGAAGGAGTAAGTTAAAGCTCATGTCTTTCTGAATTTTTAATTATTTATTTTTACGGGTATGCATATTTTGCTTGCATGTTTGTCTGGATATCACATGCATGCCTGGTGTCCACAGAGGCCAGAAGAGGACATTGGACCCCCTGGGACTAGAGTTACATATAGTTGTGAACTCTGTGTGGGTGCAGAGAGTCGAACCTGGGACCTCTGCAAAAGCACCAGTGCTCAACTGCTGAGGCCATCTCTGAAGCCTGAAGAGACTGGGAGAGGTATAGATGAAAACTCATTTGTTCCCAACGAGACCTCTGGCAAAGGAAGGCTTCTGGAATCAAACATCAGCCTCCAAATGATGCACCTGAGCCTCAGAGACTGTAGATATTGGAAAAGGAAGTTTTGAGCTGTAAGGAAGGACAGGGTCTGGATATGGGGACAACCTGGATTCTCAGGGAGGTTCCTAAATCCTGTCACGAGTGTGTTCACAAGTTACAAACAGGGGTCAGACATAGAGAGGATGAGAAAGCCCTGCAAAGATGGCAGCAGAGAGACCATCAAAGCAGCAAGCCAAGGGAACCCTGAAGCAGAGACAAGGCTCCTCCTTTAGCCTTCCAAGGAAGGAAGGAAGGCTCTGCCACCCTTCTGCCTTCAGACTCTGGCCTCCTAAGATTTAGCCTTCATGGTTCCAAGTCCCCAAGTCTGTGGTAGTTTGTTATAGCAGCCACAGGAGACCATGTGCAATGTCTGGAAGCCAGGCATGGGCAGGTGGAGCCTGAGATGGGGCAGATCCTGGGAGGAGACACAGGTGATTAAATAAACAAAGAAAAATGCTCATAATTATAACCCGTGTAGAGCTTGAAAAGAGATGGGTGGGCTGGAAGGAGGAGAGGGTCTCCTGAGGAGAAGAGAGGCCATCAGACATGTTGGCATTCAGCTGGGAGGTCTAGGGACCAAAAGAGGCAGTGGGGCTAAGTCTGAAACCCTAGCCTCTGCATCCTTGCTCTTCATCCCATTAGCAGAAGAATATAAAGTACAAAAGAGTGGTCACTACTGCACAGGGCCCACAGGACAGCTGCAAGATGCAGGTGGCTGGCACTGATCTCCATCTACAAGTTAAGGAAGGTTTGGTGCTATGGTGTAGCCCTTCCACGGGCTGAGATCTCACCTCAGAGTCTGTTGTGCTCAAGCTGGGCTGGATGGATGGTCCTTATCATCTCTGTCCCTCTTGAAAGCCCTCAGCTGTGGTCACGTGCCCAACCAATAAAACCTTAGCAGGGAAACCCTGAATCCAACTCTTAGGGAGGCAGAGGCAGGCGGATCTCTGTGAGTTCGAGGCCAGCCTTGTCTACAGAGCGAGTTCCAGGACATCCTCCAAAAAAAATACAGAGAAACCCTGTCTCGAAAAACAAAAAAACAAAACAAAATTTTCTTATAATCTACAGCTACATCCCTCAGGAATCTTCCAATTTGCCCACAGTGACTGACTCTGGACTCTGTAGTGCCTGCGTGCATCCATTTTCAATGGTTGTATTCTTAGTGATGTTATTGCTACCTTGTTACTGACAACCTTTGGTGCCGCCTGACCTGCGTGCTACACCACAGTAGACACTTGGCATACAAGGTCCCACTTATTAACATAGCAGCCTTGGAGCTACATTTTGGCATCTACATTTTATAAGCAAAACTGGGGGCCCTGCCCAAGATCTGGGGCGTTGATCCAAGCCCAAAGCCTTCTCTGGCACCTTGCCTGCAGCATTCTTGTTTTACTTCTGCTAATAACCCTTAACACCCAACTTTTATGCACCATTTATGGTTTTGCTAAGGACGTTTATACAGTTCATTTCCTAGTTCTCCCCCGAGGAGGTGTCTCTTTTCAACTTACTTGGAGTCAAGACAGGGCCAGGGGCTGGCTCACTGATGCAAGAGGCGGAGACCTGGCACACCCACCCAACCCAGCGAAGTTGCATCTGAGTCCTCTGCCACCAAACCAGCTCAGAGTTGTTACTGAGGGGCTGGGGAGGTGGCTCGGTGGGTGAGGTTTCTGCTGGGTAAACATGAGGATGTGAGTTCCACCCACAGAGCCAGGGTGAAAAACCAGGGTACAGCAATGCACATTTCTAACATCAACACTGGGGGGGAGAGGAGACGGCACAAGAGGATCCTGGAGGCTTTCGAGCTAGTATTGCCTAACTGCTGAAGACTGGGTTCAGAGAGAGCCTCTGTGGGAGTGACAGAGGAAGACACCCAATGTCACCTTCTACTTCTAGCCTCCACATGCATGTGGACATGCACAGACATGGACACATACACAGACATACACACACACCACCCCCAGCCGAACGTCTAGGCATCTTGTACATCTTGTACCTGGTTCCACACAAGACACCTGGCCACCTATGAGACAGAACACTGGTGGCAGATTCCCCCCACACTCTCAGAAATGCCATCCCAGGGACTTTTGCTCCTCTACATCTCCTTCAAAACACAAGCCAACAATCCCATGGCCACACCGGCTCTGGAAATGCCTTCTGCTTGGAATGATTTCTCTACATAACCGCCTCAGATGGGTTCAGGGAGGTTGATTAACATGCTGCCTCATCCTTCTGCCAACCCCCCCCCCAGCCACAAGCCAGCAGGGGGATTTATTAGTAGAAGGGAGCCACACATTCTCTTTGTCACAATCACAGCCTTGTCCAGAAACAATGTTGCCTTTCAAATTGTTTTCCGCCTTGAACCGGTGGATTTACAAACTGAACTGGTGGTTGGGAACAGAAGCAGGGTGCAAAGACTAGCAGCCTTGTTCTACCAGGGGCTGGTTTAGTGTTATCCTGATAAGATAATCGCAGATAAAAGCCCCCCTGGAGGTGGGTGTTCCCCTATACGCCTCTAAGTCTGTGTTTACATAGGCAAAGGCTGAAATTTGGGGGCAGCTTTTTCAGATGAAAGGGAGGAAAAAGAGGGCATTTTCTGGGTCTTCTCTCAGAAAGGAAGTTGGGTATAATTGTAGGATGTTGGGCTTGTCTCTATAAACAGTACAGAAGGGAGCCAATCTGGCAATTTCCAAAATGGTGACTCAAATCCCTGACTGCTTTTCCCGTGGCAAAGTCGGTTGCCTTTGGTAGCTGGGTATTCACATGGCATGTTGATTTCATTACAGGGACTCCCATCTTTGGTGAGTGCTTACAAATCTTGATAATAAAAAACCGGGCAAGACGTGACTTGGCTGAGCAGTTGCTGGCACTGAGTGATGACCATACAGGATCTGATAGTACAGAAGTCTCTCTACTATTGTATGTCTATTTGAAGTGTTCTCTCCGAGGAGGAGGACAATGAACACAACATGATTTTAGTGGAGAGACAACAGAATATGCTGCACCTGCAATGCTAACACTCGGAAGGCAGAAGCAGAAGGCCCCTAAGTTTGAGGATTCATAACCTGGGATACCCCAAGACCAACAGACCCAACAGAAATAAAAGGCATTGGTTTGGAACCACCTTTTTCACTTGTCTCACAGGGCCAATAGCCACTTGTGCCCTGTTTTCTCCTGGGCAGGACAGCTGTCCTCATGCCAGCAGAGCTGACAGTATGGGAAGGTGAATGGGGCCTCCTTGGAGGAGGGGGCATCTGGGAGGGTGCAGGTTCTGGGGGTGGGGGGGATCTGAAATCACTCCAGACTCTGCTGGTGGTTTGAGAGGAGGACCAGCCCTAAATTAGCCTGGATTTACCCAGTTAGTCACTCCCTAGAGTCCTGGGGCACTCAGGGAGCAAAGAACAGGACACGTGGCCTATTGTAGAACTCAAGTCTTGGAGGGCCACTTCCACATTTCATCCTAGAGGCAGAGTTTGGAGATCTCTGGAAGAACTGGCTTCCTTTGGAAGTTTTCAGCCAGATGTCTCGCACAGCTGAGGCATTACCCACAATGCCTTCAAGGAGGCTGAAGATCTGGAATTTCTCTCAAAGAGAAGGAGCCCGGGGGTGACTAGCTGAACTTCAGAAGCATAGAAAGAATGAGAGCAGGTGTTCCCCTTGCACTGTCAAGAGACATGAGGGATGGATCTGAGAGGCTCAAGAGAAGTATGATGCTAAACAGGAAGCCCTGGGTCAGATGGAGCTCTTCCAGATGACAGTGAGTGACACATTTTAAAGGACACATCAATTTCCACACATGCTTATGCTCCTGCACAAATACAGTCTTCATACTCACATAACTTGGCATGCTGCTCTAACTCTGTTCTAGTATGTTCTACACAGTTCTGTGGTAGGAACCAACTGTTTTTTGTTTAGTTTTGTTCTGTTTGTTTCCATCCCCCCCCCCGCCCCCTTTAACTGCCCTTGGTATAGTTCCTGATACATAGTAGGCCTTCAAAACTTGTGGCACATAATGTGGGCGGGTGCTAAGGATGTTGCCAAGTGTCCTACAGTACACATGGCATTCTCCACGACAGGATTATTCATCCTAGATGGAGGCAGTCCTCCTGTACTAAGGTAGGGTGGGAGCCGTTGGAGAGATCGATTCTCAGAGCATGACTGCTACTGCCACCTCAATCAGAACAGATGTGACTGCCCACACAACATCCTTTATAAGGTTGGGCTTGTGGCATTCCGTCACAGGAAGAAGGGGCAGGAGAGTCTCAAACTCTCACTTGAAAGTCAGCCACCCCCCCTCCACCTCCCTCCAGGCTGATATAATCCCATCCAGGGACATGTTCTCAGGAGATGCTAGAACAGAAGACAGAAAGCTATCTGAAAGGAGGGACACCATCTATACAGCTTGTCCTCCGTGTTGGGCTAAGACTATCTGGGGATGCAGCTGTTTGGAGAGGGGTCACCCACATTCCTGCAAGTAAGCCCAATAAACTCACTGAGTCACCAAGTGACTGTGTGGGAATATGCCTTTGGTCTGCTGGCAGTACCCTATCTTGGGGTGAGTAGATATTTATTCCTGTCTCTCTGGGACCCCATTCTTTTCCAAGGAAGGCTAAGGATGCATTCTGCTTCTCCCTGTGGGCTTACAGGTCTGGGATGAGCAAAGAAGGCTTAGGAGCCACTGAATCCCAGGAACCCCCTTACTGTCCTGTCTCCAGACAGCATAGCAGTCACTGAATCCCAGGGGAACCCCGTTACAGTCCTGTCTCCAGACAGCACAGCGGCCACTGAATTTTAGGAACCCCATTACTGTCCTGTCTCCAGAGTAGAGGAGCTCTGGATGAGCTGACTTCAGTGTGACTGTTTTCTTCCCACTGGGATTTCCTTAAAGGACTTTTCCTGAAATACCAGGGGCTTTCCACCAGGAGTGGCTCCCTTCCAAACCATAAGGGAGGAAAGAGACCCCCCCAAATAGGCCGGCTGCTCCCACTGGGAACCTGTGACTAAAGGGACAGAAGAAGGCAGTATGAATGCCGTGTGTCCAAGTGAAATCCCTCAAGACTCAAGTTCTGATCTGACAAAGCTTGGTGGCTGAGAGGTACCACAATGCTGATGGCCTTTTACCTTTTACTTACAGCAGTTCTGGGGAGGGAGAGTTGGAGAGGAACCATGTTAACAAAAACAGAGAGCAGGCAAAGGCACATATCTGAATGCAGCCCTTCCAGTGGGGAGGCACCCACAGGGGGAGGGTGTCCTCCAGGGGTCCAAGCTTGTCACCCAGGCTCTGTGTCTTGACAGAAGGCTCATGAGACAAAAATGAAGGCTCCTCACTGTGTGTGTGTGTGTGAGAGAGAGAGAGAGATTGAGAGAGAGAGAGAGAGAGAGAGAGAGAGAGAGAGAGAGAGAGAGAGAGAGAGAGAGAGAGAGGGAGGGAGGCAGGGAGGCAGGGAGGGAGGGAGGGTGTGTACATGTATAGGCCAGAGGTTAATCTCAGACATTTTTCTTCAGGAAGCCTTCAGCCTTATGTTTTGAGACATCTCACTGTTACCTAGAATTTGACAATTGAGCTGGACTGGCTGGCTAGTGATCCCCAGGGCCTGCCTATCTCCCCTTCCCACCTTTAAGATTACAATAGGATGCCACTATGTGAGTTCCAGAGGATGGAACTCTGCTCCTCGTGCTTGCAAGACCAACACTTCATTCACTTCCTGAACCTTCTCCCCAGCCATTGTCCCCAGTTTTCTTGATGAGCTTAGGTGACTCTTTTAAGGGCAAAGTTTGAATAGATTTTGTCCATAAATCCTTTGCAGAAATCTAATATATACCTTTGCTAACCAAGTTTAACCCAGGGTTTCAGAGATCCTCATTAGCTAACGAGGAGATGCTTAGCTAGACTGCTCCTTGGTGTATCTGTGCAAAAGTCATAGAAATCTACTACTCTGTTTAACAGCCACCAAACAGAAGAACTTGCATCGTGGCCTCATAGTATAACAAAATATTATTTAGGGGATACGGTACCACACATTCTGTATAGATTAACTCACTAATTAGTAGAGTTTCCATAAAGTAAACACACCATTGTTATTTTCTGAAACACATTGCAGAAATCTCCAGTAATCTATTCAAGATCATAGTCATCCACAGCAGGGTCTAGGCTTGAACCCAAAGCAGCATACTTTCTGCCTAAAAGGAATCCAGAGACTCAGTCATGAAGATCTCTTCTCTTGCCTTGGTGTCCCAGCGGGTCCCTGAGGGAACCTCCTCCACGGGATTCAGCTGGGTCCCACTCTAAGCCCTGCGCTGCAGAGCCTGCTCTGGAGTATAATGCCATTCCGTCACAATGAACCACGCTGGTTTACCTGGACTCACTGGGGGTGGGGTGGCTATCAAAAGGAGATGGCCTGTTTTTCTTAGGAGGACACCGGGCTGGAGGTTTTCCTAGGAAGCCATTGTGCCACAACACAGAGCCTGGCAACTGGCTGCACCGAAGAAAGCAGAACTGAGAGAGAAAAATGAGCAGACGCCTAAGGATACGATTTAAGCCCCTGAACCAAACTGTACTCTCCTTTTTTTCGGCTTGGGCAATAGTGAGCTGTGCTTCCAAGTCTTGTAAACAGTATACAGTGATAGATATAAATATAAAGACACTTGTAAATAAGCAGACGTGAAAAACTCATTCAAAGATTTGTGAAAGGATGCTAGACTTGTGGGAACAGAGAGAGAAAACCAGTGCCAAAAGTCCCGGTGTGGTGGTGGTGGGGACACCATTTACCAGATCATAAACAGGAGATCACACACACACACACACACACACACACACACACGCATGTGTGTGCGTGTGCACACGCATGCGCACGCAGAGGATGTCCTGGCACCCTCTATCTTATTCCCTTGAGACAGGCTCTTTCACTGAACCTTGAGCTCAGCCTAGTGGCCAGCAAACATCATCTCCTGTCTCCACTTCCCATAGTTTTGAAGTTACAAGGCCATGCATGGTCACATTAGGTTTTTTTAACATGGGTGCTGGATCTGAACTCAGGTCCTCATAGTTGTACATCTAACCCACTGAGCTATCTCTCTAGCTATGGGTCCTACAGAATTCATTGAACTGCATCACCTACCTGCAGATACACCATACCTCTGACCTAGCTTACTATTCGTAATTAAGGGGGATAGACTAGTTAGATAAGGATAGAGGGGTCAATTTATCTTCTCTACTGGAAGGTTCTGACATACAAAGGCTGGCGGCCTGACCGGCAGACAGCCACCTAACTTAGCAGCAGAGACTGTACTACACATCTCCGGAGTGCATACAGTGCAGCAACTATCTTCTTGGATCAGTTGCTGAGTTTATTCACTCGAAACTGATACCTTCCAAACAGAGAGGAAGGGCTGGAGACGGCTCAGTGGTTAAGAGCTCATGCTGTTCTTGATGTTCCCAGCATCCACATTAGACAGTGGCCCACAAGTGCTTATAATCCCAGTCTCAGGGTGCGGGGGACCTGACACTCCTAACATCTGAAAGCACCTGCAGTCATATGCACATACCCTGCCCTACACACATACACATAGAAGAAGAAGAGAAGGAGACGGAGAAGGAGGAGAAGGAGGAGGAAGAGAAGGAGGAGAGGAGGAGGAGGAGGAGGAGGAGGAGGAGGAGGAGGAGGAGGAGGAGGAGGAGAAGAAGAAGAAGAAGAAGAAGAAGAAGAAGAAGAAGAAGAAGAAGAAGAAGAAGAAGAAGAAGAAGAAGAAGAAGAAGAAGGATGGATCGAGTATCCCTTGCTTCCTAGGCATACTTTTTCCGCTGAGTTCCAGCCTCCAGGAAACCTTCAGCAAATTTCTGGTCCCACAGATACATGGACACCAGCCCTCTCCACCCCTGAAGTGTAAGGGACCAACTGGCCAGGTGGAGCCTCAGGTGTGTGTGTGTGTGTGTGTGTGTGTGTGTGTGTGTGTGTGTGTGTGTGTGTGTGAGATACCCTAGCTGGCAAAGAGCTGAACCCAGACACCAGGGGCCCCAGATACGATTGTGTTTGCATTCCTACTGACTGAATTACTCACGCCTCATTTGATCAGTTCCCTGAAACAATCACTTCTGGATGTATTTAAAAACCCGAGTCCCT